TAAATGTTGAAGTAATATATGTGGTAAGCAATTCTCACTATTTGTAAACAATTAGATTTGATAATTATGTTTAATTAAAAAGTCTTACTAGAAAAAGAAAAAACTCTTGATGAAAATGATTACCACCTGCATACTTTGCTGTGTCACTACTAGTGTTGGAAAAAAAAGAGCAATGCCCACTTTATCGCAAAATGAATGTAAGTTTTTGTCCTTTTGAAGTCAACATTGCATTTCAGTCATGATCGTTATTATTTTAAATACTTTTAGCAGTTTAATTTCTTTAAAAGAACAAAATTGAAAACCTTTTGATTTGAACTTTTTAATGGCTTATCTAACAATTTCAATTAACAAAGAATTTAAAACAAATTTGACCATTTGCCATTTACATAAAAGTTGCAGGGAGGGAAAAACAAAAAAAAAGAACATCGAGGCAGTGTTCCAGTAAAGCCTATGCAATTTAAACTTATAAGTACTTAGAATTGATAATGAAGAAGTAATCCCCGGCTAATTAAGAAGCCAGAGTTGGGCAAAAAAAAGGTAGAGGCAAAAGAAGAATAAGTTTAAGGAAAAATATTAAATATATTGATAGTGTATAATTTCTATATAGTATTAGGTCATTAAATTTTGATATATCATTAATGAAGTATTATTTTGAAGAAAACAAAATATTAATATTAAAACTTAATCTCATTTTGAGATCTTATCAATTTTGTATTTTTTTTAAAATAATACTTTATTAATAAAATATCAAAATTTAATGATAAAAAATTTTACACTTTTAATACGTCAAATGTTAACTCTAACTTTAATGGTGGTGAAATGATCCACCGTAACTCCCTGCATAGAATTGTCATGTTGGTGGAATACTGATGCTGCTAGTATTGCTTTCTTGCTGTTAGATTTGTCAAAATGGGCCTACCCATCGGGTCGGCTCATTTTTTATTAAATGTGGAGTGAATTGGGTTAAAAAATTTTAGCCTATATTTGAATCGGGTCTAAATAGGTCAGCCCACCAAATCAGTGGACTGAGGCAAGGCTAGCCCTATGGGTTAGAAAAAAATAATTTTAATTAATTTAATAATTTTATATATTTAATTATGTAAAATTAATAATTTAGTTACTAATAGTATTGTTTCTTTTATATATTTCAATGCCTTTAATCTTTACTTGTCAAATTAAAAATTTTAATTTAGATTAAAACTTATTATCTCTTTTTCTTTTATGGTAATGAATATTAAATGATAAATTGATAATAATTCAGACCTTGAGACATCATTGCTGTCTAAACAAGATTCAAATGTTTTACTTAAGAATGAAGATTGAGGAGGATATAAATGAATCTTGAAATTTTTATTATTTGGTTATATATTTATGTTTATGAGATACTAGTTTGTGTTAAAGATTTAAACTTATTATATAATTTATTTAGTTTTTTATATTTGGTATAATTTGTTTATTTGTAACATATTTTTATTATTCAATTTATGAATTAAATCATAAAATAATTTTATTAATAAAAAATTTGTCAAGCATAATTATAAAAATTATTTTTTTTTGAAAAAATAAAAATGAGTTGTCCTAACCTAACCCATGGGCTAACAAAGGGTGGGCTAGGTTGAGGTTTTGATGACTCATATAAAAAATGGGTTGGCCCGGTCCAACTCATATTTTTTCAACCCACAAAGGCTGGAGTCGAGCTGGGTCGGGCCAGCCCATATGGACAACTCTACTTGCTGTTATGGTGGGTGCGTGGGCCTTAGTACAACACTGTTCTTATCCACCAAAAAACGACAAAACAAAAATCAAATCCTATAGTGATTTATTAGAAGCTGTAACATCGTACTTTTTCTCTTACAAGATAATAAACCATCACTACAAGAAATGCACCTTTTATTAATGGAATTGATTATGTCCATAAAATACCGTCGCTAATTATTAATGGAATATCGATGAATTATCAAGTGAACAAGATTGTGAAATATATCGATAGAATATTTCAACGGAATAAATTTTGTCAATGCTCCGTTAGTAATATAATGGCGTACATGAATAGTAGCATGACGAAAAATTTAACGAGTTACCTATTGAAGCTATTGACCACTAAAACCGATGGGCTGTGTGGTCCAATAACTTGGTTAGGCATTGGTAGCATTACAGATAGATATGTCACAATAAAATTTTCATCTGTTTTTTAATTTTTAAAATTAAAGAATACTAAAAAAAATGGAAGGGGTTTTTTTGGGGGTTTTTTTCCGTCAGCATATCGTTAGTAAGCATAATTAAAATTCACAACGTGGATTTTTCCCGCCGTTCTCTCTACTGTTAGCCTGCACGCGCCGCGTCCCGCCACCCGCTCCGAGATCCACTCCTCCCTTATCCCTCGCTGTTCCTGCCCTCTCGCCCCCCAGCGCCCCCCCCTCCGCGTCTACTCCCCCGTCCTCCCCCCGCGGCCTCCCGCCTCCCCTCGACCCCTTCGCCTGTCCGTCGAGCCGTCTTGCCTTCACCAGTTTGCGCACTCCTCAATTACCTTATTTTAATTAGTAACAGAACCGTCCATCGATAATCTTATTAAAATCCCTGCTCAAGATTCTCTTTCTCATTTCTCCTCTACTCTTTTCTGCATTTTGCTCTCTCTCTTCACTCTCTGGTTTCTCTTATCTCCCTTCTGCTCTCCCTTCGCCCATCTGAGCACCTCCTCCCATTCGTCAATGACAACCCACATTGACCGTCACTGACTAGATGCCCTACCTTATCATCCTTTTCTGACCAGCTGACCACCATTGAGCCACCCCTATCGCTGCCCCTACCTAAGCTAGGAAAATCTTCTCCTTCTTTTGGTACTTACAATCACTCATTAATTTGTGGTTTTGATTTATTGAATATTTAAGGATTTTGTTGTTTGAATATTTGAGGTTTTGGTTGTTGTGGATTTAGGGTTTAATTTCCCAATTTTTGCCATATTATTGTGTGATTCAATTGGATTATTTGGTTTGTAATGAAATGAAAAAAAATGTGATTATTTGTTATTTGAGGTTTTATTGCTAATTTGTTAGAGTTTAGCTGTTTATTATATAGTTGTTGGCAAAGAAAATTCAATTGAAAAAATGCTGGTTTAGGCTTTAGTAATTTACTAATTTAGGATATAATTAAACCTAGTGATTAATTAAGCAAAATTTGGTAATCAAGCAAGATGGAAATACTTTTTACTAAACAAATGGATTGAGCAAATTCATCATTAAGCAATGTACAACATAAGTAATATTACTTAACTTAAAAAATATTTAAATTAATGACAATTAAAGGTGTTAATAACGTAGTTAAATGATTAAGTTAATTAACAAATGTAATGTATTAAGTATAAGTATTAGCCAGTAGTCACATAATGAAATTGGTTAATTGAAGATAATTAAAAAGTATTTAAATTTATTAAGGTTTATAGGGAAATAATTAATAATTTAACTAACGAAATGAGTAAAATTTTTTAGTAATTAAGCAATTAACAAAATTAGTATATTATTGAATTTTAAAAACATTTAGATTAATGATTAAGGTGTTAATAATGTATTTAAATGATTAAGTTAATTAAGTAATGTAATGTATTAATTATAAGTATTAGTAATTAGTCAAATTAATATAAATTAGTTAATTAAAGATAATTAAAAATTATTTAAATTAATTAAGGTTTGACATGGTTGTGGTGAGAAAAAAGTCAAAGGAAGGCCTTTGAGGATAAGGCCGTTCTTGTAGCGTTAGCCTTTTGGGTGCCCGACCTCCTTTACCGCTATATCCTACAATCGGTGCCCCTACCATTGCATCCTCCCTCGATGACGAACTCTCATTACTCCAATAGAAGATATTGAGGTATAGTCGGAGGAAGAGGTATTAAGGCCGAGTCCGACAACTTTAGTTGGAGCCCTTACTACTCCGAACAATGATATTGCATCCAACAATATGTCGCAGTCTAAGGGTCGAGGGTCGAGTCTCGGTTTGTAGACTCTAACTCATCCAGACCGACGAATATTACTACATCCTCTTAGAGAGAGGTAATTTTCTTTACTC